GCAATTTTGAGCGCATTAACAAAAAACCTTAGTTGCTACTGTATCCCTGCCTACCTCGACTTTTATCAATACATGCTCTAAAGACCAAATTCAAGTTTTATGCAATTTTGATTACTGTTACTTAATGACAGACAGGAAGAAAACCCAAGATAGTATTTTTAGCCCCAGTAGCTGCCAAGGTAAGTGATTATGACATAGTAAACTCTGTTAGCTTTCTCCCAGGTCTGTGTATAACACAGGGTGACTGGTGAGACCATTCCAGTGTTTCTTACACACTTCTGTCAATACTAATCTTTTTTCCCCAGCTGGGCCAAACTCTAACTTAACCCCTCCTGTCATTTTAGCACATGAATACAAATACCCTTTCCTTTCAGGTGGATTCAATCTGGAAACTCTCCTTTACTTTCATTATGCAGCTCCAGTATTAGTAATGACATCTAAAATAGAGTTAATTCCTCAGATTATGACTGCAGCCAATGGCATGTTAAACAGCTAGTGTTTATCTCTGCACCAGACAATATTCAAAGTCCTATAAAACAAGGAGCCCACACAAACCTTCCCTATACTAACAGAGCTTTGCTAGTGAAAGCAAGTTTTGCAAAACTCACAGAGAATTGGCATATTCAGCCCTGTTGGTTATTGTGCAACTGCAAATGAACCTCCCCTCTCTTCCAGGGTATTTCTAAAAATTCAGATTTTTTGAAAGAAACTCTACGAACAAGACTGCATTGCACTGGGCTCCACTCCGCCTGTTTCGAGGGTGAGAAAATCCCATGTTACCTCCACGGAAAACAGAGGGCATGGCCCAGATGAAAGCTCCTCACCAGGCGTCCATGAGGGCAGGACCAGAGCTGGCTCCTAGTGTGCCTTGAGGTTTGTGTAATTTGTTTCCATAAAGCTCTGACAGTGTTCAGTAGGGAATTAATTAAGGGCAAGATCTTTCAAAACTATGTCATGTTTACGTACTGCAATACTCGACATATGCCTAACATGTGCTATTCAAATAAAACCCACAAATGCCGTACAAGCTCAGAGTCAGAAGTTCAAAATGAGAAGAAAAAAAAAAAAAGGGTAACATTATTTGTAAGATGAGGAGAGTATTATAGTGGGAGTTCACTTTTAAAGCCAAATACAAAAAAAGTTTATTTCATGCAACTTACATCTGTCTAAAACTAGACTGGGTGTCTAGATGACTTTTTAATCACAGTGACACTCTACGAAAATCAACTCATATTCAAATTGCATCTCCCAGTGAGATAACAATTTCTAATATGCCGAAAAATCTACCATCTTGTTAATACAGATCTAAAATAGGAATGAAGCTATTTAAGTCTTTATAAGACATTACATTTGATGAAAATAGCTATTATTATCCTATCACATCCGCAGCACCAGAACAGGGAACAAATTAAGGTACACTTTTAAAATATTAATTGAAAGTACAGTTCACTATTGTGAAACTAAAGCATAGGGTTGTGTATTTTATACAGAAATAAGTCTTCTGAGAAAACACAGGAAAAAGCAAAGGGTATGTCTTTGTAGTGAAAGTTAGAACTTCTTAAATCGTTTAAAAGGTTTTAAATGTCAAAAGATTTGCACTAATTTTCATCACATACCAAACCTATAGCAATTAGATCTATTGAGTTGGTAAGTATTTTTCATGCCTTTCAAAAGGAAATACTGCCTGGATGAATGGAGTGAGGTGGGCTGAAAACTGCCCGAATCCCCAGGCTTGAAGGGCATTGATCGATGGCTTACGCCCCGCTCGCAGTCAGCAACACGGACAGCCCTGCAGGCTTCAATTTTGTGGCCCATGTCAATCAACATCTCACCAGTGACCTGGGCAAGGACATAACTACATGCTAACAAGTTCGGAGATGACAGTAAATTAGGAGGATGAGACGGCATGCCAAATGGCAGAGCTTCAATCAGAACGACGTTGCTTGGCTTGAGGACTGGGCCAGAAGACACTTTGTGAGGTTCAACAGAAGTGCAAACGTTTGCACCTGGTGCGGAAAAATCCCATGTGCTGGGAAGGGATGGCCGAGCAGCAGCCCTGCCAAAAAGCAGCAGGCACTTTACAATGGGTGCCAGGCTGCTGTTCTCATTGCAACACGGGAAACCCCATTCTGCGCCACACTGGCAGAGGATGTGGAAAGCCCACTATCCCCCACGACTTAGTGCTGGTGAAATTTCACAGGTTGTCTAAAAATCACAATTTGGATAGAAGCCCCCAGACGTATCCTCTGTTAACCCATGTTCTTTAGAAACAGCACAAAATGCGTCATGATGTCCCCCAAGATTACAGGAAAAATTTGGTAAAAGATTTTGCACACAATCCAGAGAATTCTGCACTATAGAAATTGCTTTACAGTACATCTGCTAGCACTTTTCAATTTCTGATAAAGACCGCAAATATTTTGTGATGCATTGTTTTCTGTTTCCTCTACTTACTAATTAACATTCAGTAAGCTTAAAAAGTGCCTTCAACAGAAAAATCTAGCATATCACAGATTTTTTTTAATTCTAAAAATGTTAATGTTACTTTCTTTCAATCAGTGTCAAATAAACAATTGTAAAAAATAAAATCAGTGATAGCATCTTTAGTGTTCACAAAGTTTCAGTTTGCATTGCAAATAATGGTATTCACAAAGCACTAGCAGAACACTGTAAAACTAAAGACCTTATTTCTGTATTAAGTATCAACTTTCAGAAAAATCTGAGGACATGCAGTTTCTGTCCCTCAAATGTACTTGCAGTCATACACACATAATGTTTTCTAATATCACGGTGAACTGCACATGAGACTGGAGCATGAGGTGGGCAAATGTTTAATAATGTTGTTTTTAAGGGAAGTGACACAGAATAATTAATTGCTATTTTGCACACAATGTGCCAATTTGACTCATAGTGTAGCGTCATTAAAGCAAGTAGGATGAAGTTAATCAAACGTGATTAAAAAAACAAACTTTGATATATTTTCATTTTGTTATAATAACAATCGCAGAAGTAAAAAAAAAAAATCAGACTAGGTTCAACTAGGAAAGAAAAAGATATCATTCTTTGAATAATTCAAAATTTTTTTTGGAAGAAGTTCTGTTAATCTGCACAGAGTTTTTTATACCGAATATTCATAAGCAATTCATGAGCATTCACAATTCTTAAAAAGTCTACTTAATATTTTCTTTAGGTTTTCATAGTTCTTCCCGGTTACAAAACTGTGTGAAGAAATTGGAACTCATTAGTAGCTAGTTGCTCTGCCAGTTGCTTTGCCATACAAACAAGGGGGAGAACTAAATGCATATTAAATAATCAAAGTAATCTCAGTTCTTAGGGACCTGACTCTGCAAAAGGAAGAACCAGGCAGAGCTGGGTATGTGTTGTAATCTACTGAGAACTGTTCAAGCAGCTCTGCTGGCAGGATCACATACCTATCTAATCATTTTTTTCAGGTCTCAGTACTGGAATCAATCTTAAATAGAAAAATTCAAGTGCACTACGTACACTGTGTGTGTGTAGAAAGAAATACAGTGTACGTGCATGAAATCTAACCTATCATCAATGCCTCGATGTATAATACATACATAAATGGAAGACTAGATCATACCATATGGAATGCAATTTTTACCTAATAAAATTACTTCTTTTCCTTTTATTAAAATCTGCCCTCCTACTGTTTAATGTTTCAGAGATTTTCAAATAGAAAGTGCCAAGCCTTCTCCCACATATATTAACTGAGGCTTAGCAACACATAAGAGACTTGGTTCTTAATCAAAAAATATAGAATCACTTTATGAAAAACTGTAAAATATAACTTTCCACAAAAGCTATTTTGGCAACACAAGTAGTAGTTGTTAGCTACAACGGATGGGAGCCTCTGCCATACTCTCAAATATAAATTTAGATAAGAAAAGTGGATGGGGAAAAAACAGAGCCAGTAAAGCAAACAGTGTGTGTGGCAGAAAATAGTTGCATTTACAGTACTATCCAACTTCTGGAGAGAAGCCAGAGACCTTCCCATGAAATCTTTCTGTGCTTTTAACGCTGTTGCAAAGCTTCAGGGAATTCTAATTGTATAAACAGTTATGCGGAAATGAGATTCACTGTGAGACTATGTCCAGCCAGTGGTAAAGATGATTGCATCTCAGCATCAGTCATTTAGAATATGAACTTTCTGACTAGCAATTCATATGCATTTACCGAATTTGTCTCAAATTCAACCAGTTAGAAGTTTCTTTTCAGTCTGATTATACAGTCAGCTTCCCAAAGCTAAAGCATGCACAGTAGATCTCATTCCTCTGAAATACAGTTAGATGTTTGGTTGTCTTTTGATTTTAAATAATGCAGGTTCTCCAATATTTGTATCATGATAAAATTCTAGTGCTTTAAAAATCTGCCCTTCACACAAGCCTAAGCATACATATTTTAAAACTACTTACTGTACATCTTCATATTTTTTTTAAGGCATGAACAATGGCATATGAATGGGAACAGCTTCCGGAAAAGCATATCTTTTTGACAAAGGCCAGTCCAAGCACATCGCACCAAAGGACTAACCTGAAGCCAGAAATGACAGTGTTGTGACCCAAGAGTTTTTAACAAAAATAGTTGAAACAAAATGGATTTTTTTCTCTTTTTCTTCTTTTTTTTTTGTTTTTTAATTTAAATTACATTACTCTTAATGTCTCTTTAAAGCACCGGTTGCAGTTTTGCATTTACCAGCTTTTCCGAGTGACTTTGGATAACTCATCTGCTTCTTTTGTTCTGAATTTTCAGTGTATGAAACTTTAAAAGGTTTCTATTTCTTTTTTTTTTTTCTTCTTCTTTTTTTTTTTAATGGCTGCAAAATTAAAAAGATCCAGAAGTGGTCAGGGGCCTGGTATAATGCACTTTCAAAAGTCCGTTATAAAGATGAATATAAATGCGAATGACAGGTTTTTCCGTAGACCCACAAACCACACTTAGCTATAAGAAACATATTGTGCATAGTTATTTTTTTCTTCAGAGTGATATGTTTACTAGATCTACATTCTCAGTTTACCAGAGTACGGGAATTTCTACTTTACTAAAGCCAGGATCCTTTCGCAGTTCCCAGTAGGTGTCATTGGTAACCCAGGCTTCTCTTTGATTAGCATCAATAACTTTTCTGTAGAAAGGAAAAAAAAAAAACCAAGAGAGAGAGGAAAAAGAAGTTCTGACCATAGGTCTCTGCTCTTATACAATATGAAATCAAATTCCATACCTCTCTGATCTAACCCAATACTAAATCTGATTTAATTTTTCTAAAGGACACAAGAACAGTCAGGGATTTAAAAATAAAAATCAACCTCTACCTATGTCAAAAGTGGAAGGTTTAGAAAAGAGCCAATCGCAAATCTGTTACCTGATCTGTGTGAGCAGGTCTTAGAGCCACATAAAGCCTCTTTAGCCATTACAGATTCTGATCATGTGCATTCTGATCAACCAAGAGATCTAGCTTGCAGAATGCAAGCCTTTTACGATTTATATTGTTTGTCTCCTCTGTATTTTGCTCATCTTCCACTACAAAACTGCATCAAGCACGTTCAATCTTTTCACTTTTGATCCCCATGCTAAACATCAGGCTATTTGCTATGACTATCCCTTGTTTCAGAAGAATGCTTAATTAAAAGCAAAAACAAACAAACAAAAACCCCTCCAGTCAAAAATAAATAAATTGTAATTTAAGTGTGTCTATATATACATTTATATATACATTTGAGAGAGAGAGAGAGAGAGAGAGAGAGAGAGAGAGATGTATGATGTTGTTGTTCAGGTCACTATTTATTACTTTGTTTATGCAATGACTTAAAACAATAACATAGTTAAATCTTAGATCCTAATATTATACTTCTATTCCACTTCAAAGTTCAAAAAACATTGGCCAAGAGCTGCAGCAGGCTTGTATAGCTGTTGCCCATTGTAAGAAACGATCTTTCAATTATGAAGCTTTAAACTATGTAAAAATTGCTTCAGGCAGAGAACAGGTATCTGATTATTTTTTTTTAAATTGCTATTTTGCAGGCTTTCACGATTAACTGACTATGTTGGTAGTAATTCTTGTAGTAATTTGTCGAGTCACACTATAGGAAATTACGACTTCAGACTTACGACTGAAATGAATAGACTCACTTAAAAAATTTGGGTACATATTCAATGCTGTTTTCTTCCATGTACCGTCTCCGACCTCTCTGGAGTTCCTCTATTCTTTGTTTCTCAGATGCTGCTGCTTCTACATTTCCTTCCTCCAGAAGCCTGTATGAATAACAGCAGGTCCTCTAGCAATCATACAGTGTCTAGAACAAGGGATTTTCTAGCACCAATCATCACAAAAGACAAATAGAAGCCAAGCCTGTTTTCTGTGTTGTACCCACTTTCAGATCTAGTCATAATCTTATAAAATAAGAATAACCAAGATGTGACTCCCCAGTTACATGTACCTGACCTATAGCCTAAGGCATACACTTTCTTTAGTAACTTCAGCATATCACAATCATCGACATACTATGAACTGAGAATTAGGAGGGAATTAATGTTGCTTCCATTCATAGCAGGAGGGCATGACATTTCAGAGCCTGTCATTCCAGTTTGTTATGAGGAATCCTATCTCTGCCCAAAGATTGCACTATAGCTCTACTATACCAGCAAGATGCTTTCTACTTTCCCCCAACTGGGTAAAGCAGAAATTTGATTGCAGTACTGAATACCTTCTCTGCTAGCAGAATCCTCCAAAGTTTAGTTCAGACTGTAGTGAAGACACAGACAAAATTCAATACTCAGCCAAACCCAGCCTTAAAACCACCAAATATTAAGTGTATAAATAAGCATTCTTGCCTTTGATCCGGCCTGAATCGCGCATCTGTTGTAGGAAGAAGATCTTTCAGTAAAGGATCTAATTCATTGAGCTCAATAGCAAACCTTGTGAAGCCATAATAACGTTCATAATTGGTTGGCATGGAGCCTGTATGAATATGTATGAGGAAGAAAAAAGCTTTTTAAACTATTACTCTAAATATGCAAGAGATTCACCTATTAAATTATAAAAGCAAAAACATTAATATATTTTACTCTTACATAAAATTAAAAAGCATCAAAAGCTATTCTCTAGGTGGAACAACATTCACTAAATATTAATTTCAACTGCTTATCCTGCAGAGGTTGTAATTACCTGCTAATAGATTCAAAACTTTTATGATTTTCCTTCATTTTTAAATAAAAATTACTGTTTTCAAGGTTTTCAAGTTAAATATAGTTTCCTGTTCCCTGGAAAGTGGGCTTATCAAATTTCTGTATAAAAGCTTAACTGATTTTCAGAGTTAATTTTGGAACATAATGCTCACTCACAGACTGATTCTGCACTGTCCAACATCTTCAGTACTAACAGCAGTCAGAGTAGACATTGCAGAGAGTAGGGTGCAAAGTTGGGTTCAAAAGACCATCAATACAGAGTAGGGTTCAAAATACTAACAATAATGAAAATTCCTGGGTAATCACTCTGCATGTATGAAAGATACTATAGGTGCAAAGGATGACTAATTCAGCCTCCGTGCCCCTAAGCAAGTGTAAGGAAGTTGAAATCAGCTCCTGAAATCACAGGAGCTCGCCATCTCTGAAGACCAATCCTTTAGGCTAATAAAGCATTAAGACAACAAACTCAATAAACTGTCACTTCCTATTTGTTGAATCCAAATAAGCTACCCTGCTCTCTGAGAGAAGGCAGGCAGGCAGGCCGGCCCAGACATCAAATTTTTCTCTTAGTTTTACTCTTATATTGACCCCAAGACCCCAGAATATTTGACCAGGAGTCAGACTGAGATGTAGAAAACTACGCCCTGTAAGAAGATTTCCATTTATCAACATTATAAACTCGTGTAAATTCTTGTTTATTTGTCTAGACAGAAATTTAATTTCTCCAGGAGTATTTTGTATATTTAAAATGATGGCTAAAACAGCTTTATATAGTTTAGGGTTACACCGCGGTGCCTGCCGGCATTTACTACAAGCTTCTTACCTGGTCTCCATATGCATTTGGCTGAAGGAGCAACCCCACAATAAAGGCCTTCGTGCCATTTTCCAAAAAGGCGATGAACCACCTTCCCTTCTTGATCTATCACAACACCCTGGACCTCATTTACATTTGAATTCCAGTAGTTCACCTGCAAGTTTAACAAAGAATCACTAGTTCACACTGTTTTTCACATTCCCTGTTGTACCAATAGAGATACTGCATGAATCTTAATATGTGGCACCAATTGTCCAAATTTTGTATCTGACCAGCTCACCTGGAACCAAGAATGTCAGAATTCGAAATTCAGATTCTCTGAATATTAATTGATTTAGTATCTGAGAAACCCTGAATAATTTGATATGTGGTTTTGGTATAAAAGTATTTAAATTATCTGCACATCTGGAAACTATATTGTTGTTCCTTAACACAAATCGCACACAATTCAGCAAAAATGATGCTTTGAAAGTTGCAAGATCAGAGCCAGCTAACTCTCTTCTTTCTATACGGAGAAATACTGAATATACCTGTAACATGTAAAGGAATCCTTTGATGGGTGCTGCACACTAGTGTTTGCAGCAGGGAAGATGTTCAGCCAGTATTACTTGTTATTGCTTTCTGTTTCTCTTCTCTGTTTTGCTTTTCCTGGACACATTTATTTCTTACACCTTCACCTACTGAGCCAGTTGCCCATTCTCAGAACATCCATCAAAATTTCAGATTTACAGTAACACACCATTGCTAACACTGCAATGGTATTGATGTATTTTGTTGCAATATGAAGTCAAACTTATTTTTAGGGAAAATAATTGATAATAACATAGCAATAAAGTGACCTGTTTTTATATATGGTCCTTCCCTGGATATTAAAATACTATGAACCAAAGCAGCATTATTTAATCTAAAGTGATAAAATATTGACAGCCAAATTCTAATAAAGGCAGAAGTAAAATGGCATAGAAGTCTACAGTGACTTTGCGTTTTCATTGTGGTAATAGAAAAGAAATTCTGACACTTCATTTTTAACCTAAAACCAACAACAGTATAGCACACAGCTATACAGCAATGCAACACACTGATATCAAATGTTCAATGGAATAGAGTCATACTACTTGACATAGTACTCTCATTTGACAATTTACATATTTAGAAATGTTGATAAGACAAAATGTGGAATGTGGATTTCAGGAATACTGAAGAAACAGCTTGATGTATGCTTAAACTATGCAGTTTTATGAATATATGATAGGTATTAGAATACATATGTTACCTTGACAAATGTGAGTTTACAAATACAAACATTGCTTTTTGTGTTCCTGATAGTTATCTCTCCATAGTGTTCTATCCACCTCCTTCCACTAAGAATATTATGTATGCAAGTAGTGACTTTGTTCCAGACATAGTAGTCTCCATACCTAAGAACAGATTAACAAGTAGTTGGTAACATATATTCATCATTAATATTATGGACAAAAAAGTAAAACATAGCTCCATTATCATAAATACAAGACCATATTCCTCAAAAACTTTTGAAACAATAGCTTACTTTAATAAAGCACTGGTTCTGGGTACATTACTAATCCTCCACAGAGGAGCTCACCTCGGCTCTAGTGCAGAGAACTGAAGAATGGTGCTATGAATCACAAATCAAGACATTATGAACCACTGAAGCCCTGCATGGCATATTCACTGTCCTCAGAGCATTAAGTGCTTTGGCCACAATTCCTTTAGGGGCAGGACAGTGACCCGAAGATCAACATAAGGTTGAATTGAGACTATAAGCAGACAATGTAATTAAATTACAAATAGAACAAAATAAATATGGAAAGGAGATAACAGAAAGAAGTAGGAAGCAGGAGCTCACTGGCACATCATCCCTCTCTCTCTGTAACTACTACTCAGAGTCAGAGCATCTCTATTGTCAAACAAGGGAACAAAATGAGGGAATTATATTGTGCAAAGCACATTCTCCTTCAGAGCTGAGGGGCAAGCATGAAGACAGAAGACAAAGATGCTCCTAAGTGTACTTACTTAAATTTCATGAGATGGATAAAAAGGTGAAGTGGAGTGATGTCATACTGTTAGAGGCAGAAAGAAAGGATGGCTGCAATGTACCGGAGCAGGAATAGTACTGCAAAACCAGCAGACGTGTTTAAAAGTATCCTCTCCTTGCACATTCTCAGATTTACAACTTGCAACTAGTCTTACCTGTGGTGAAACAACTTCTTCTCACTACTCTGTCAACATCTGAAGAACATGTTTTGGCTTATCTACATTTTGAAAAATGACCTTACATTGTTACTAGTGGTTGTTCTGAGGGAACACTTCGCAGTATTGAGAGCCTTAGTAAGGACAGCGCTAGCTGCTGACAGTCCTATATTGCAGCCTTGTTCTGAACAGTTGATCACTACTGTACATGTAAAACTTGGGTTCTCTCTCCTAAAACATTTCTATCCCCCTCTGTCTATCACTTTCTAGAGAGTTTGTGTATTTCTCCTCCAAAAACCCAAGTGGATCTTCAGGCTCAAAAATGCTTCAGTATCCCCACCTGTACACTAAGGAGAGATTTGAGCTAGGCACTAACTCTCACCAGTACAATTCCTGTGATGTCTGCATACACTTCCCCCAATCCATTCACAAGGCAGCACAGATTAGATTGCAGCAAAGACTGAAAACAAAAGGAAATAGGACAAGTAGCTTACTTTGGAAGAGTCACATTCAAGGTTCCAACTGGCAGAATTTCCATTGATTTCCCCCAGAATTTGTTTTTCCACCTGATATCTGAATATAATAGTGAAAGATTTACAAAACTGAAAAGACCAAACCCTCCCCCTTGCAGTGATCTGCACCGCACATGAGATGATCTATGCTAGATCATCCAGTTTAAAACAGGACAGTATGAGGTTGTCATGAAAATACAAAAGGAAAAAAAAAAAAAACAGAAAATGACATTAGGTCAGAAAAACTAAAGATAAGTTTGATTTTCTTCTAGGAGACATGCCTAATGCATGTGCTGCATTATTGTCAAATCTCTCATGAAAACATTCAATACAAATTAAATGCATATGCCAGTAGATATAAGAAAAGAAAGAGCTGCTTGTTCAACTGTGTAAAAAGAACTGCTTGTGTTTGTAAAAAATAATAATTTTCGTGGTAAAAAGCTTTTAAGCAGAGAAGTATAAACAGAGTGCAAGTGACAAGGGAAGTTGTAACATGTCTGCTCGCTCTTAAGAATGAGAATTTGGAGTGAAATAATTCAGAGCATCAGTTTGTAATACGTTACTACAAAAATAGTAAGTATAGAAATTTTGAGTAAATTCCAAATGCAAAGTTCAGCTTGTACAGACAAAGTTTTTACTTGCTAATAAAAAAGGAGTTTATGCTTTTGAATTAAAAAAGTATACCTTGCCAAAACACAAAGTTCTTCGATTCACAGTGACAGGCCGAAATGGGAGGATGGTGGCTAACCTGGAAAACAGTTTGGCTGAGTTAAAAATAATTCATTTTCATCTCTAAGACAACACAATTGTTACTGCAATATGAAAATACTAAATAGCCCACACTATTTACTAGCCTATGATGCTATGAAAACAGATGCAAGTTAAGTTTGTATTTAAAATGCTATGTACTTAAAACACTTCCTTGTGGTTACTAAAATCTTTAAAATACATACCTTCTAGTATATAACGAAGTTCACTCATACTAACAACCTTTCTTTACTATTAAAGAAAGTAAACCATTCTAACTAGAAAGAAAAAACAAGATTACTCTATAAAACGAAACCAAAATCTAAATCTAAACAGGAGTGTCTATCTAGAAATAAGCTTTACCTGCTCTGAGAAAAATCGAAATCCTTTGTCTTCTCTAATACATTCATAAGTTTCACCAAGCACTGGGTTAAATGGCTTGCTTCCTGCTCTAAAGTATGTAGAGGCATAGCCTGATGCTGCAAAAGCAGCTATGAGAACCTGTGAAAATACAAAAGAGAACATAAGTGAGAATAGACAGAGATTTTTGTGTATATGCCATCACTATGTGGTATCCACAACTCACTCCACTCAGAGTGAAATCTGGATTAATGAAGCATGCCTGAGAGTGAAGCCATACATCCCAGCCAGAACCAGCATAAATTGTAATTCTTTTGTTGATATAATTTGGTTTTCTTCATGGCCTCAGTCAGTCTCTTTCAACAGTCCTCTAAAATAACAATCTGCACAAGATACTGTTTTTCTATCTTTGACCAGGCTTATCACTGATGATCTAAAACACGGACCCAGCTCTAGTTTATACTCCCTGTGAATAATAGTAACTTCTAATGACAAGATCACGTACCATTTTCCTATGGGAACTACTTTATTTAATACACGGCTCTCACTTAGGATGTCCTTAATGCAGAGTTATCTCAGGATCTTCCATGCATGTGTGGCCTTATCAGCCTCCTTGTCTACAAGTACAAACAAAATTTAGTAATCTCTAAACCAGGCCTAGCTGGGAGTAATAAGCTAAGTGACGTGCCATGGTAAGTTAGATTACATCTCTCTTCAGCGGAGTTAAAAAAAAATCACAACAGGCACTCAGAAGTCCAAAGAAAACTTCAGAAAAGCAATACAGGGATAAAAATCACTCAGCTAAGGATAATCTGCTGAGAGTGGGGCAAACCTTAACCAGGTCCCCCTCTCCTCATGCTAGTGAGGATGTAACACTCGTGTGAGCTTTTACATGCTTTGTTTTCTTCCCACTGTGTAATGGGTGCTCCATTCTCTATTCATTTCATATTATTCATAAACGCAACATCAACAGAATTAACGCTCTTTTCACAGGCTTTTCTTCAACAGTAGAAATCTTCATTCTTCCAAAACCTTTTTCATTAATTTAACTAGAGGAATTAATTTACAGAGAAATGTGGGGTTTTACCATCCTTATGGTATATAGAGCAACGAGAAGAAAAAAGTTTCCACTACTTTTGGATGCTTATTTAAGATAGCAAAGTCCTGATTTTTCAGAGAATGGTGAAGAAGCAGGTAGCATTCACAGCACTGCTACCACTGATGCGTTGGGTATTCAGCACTTCTGCCAAGTAATCCCACGTGTCTCAGCTTGGGTGTGCAATTTGCATTTTTAAGGTGCTTGTTAAAAGTTTGGCTTGTATCCCCAGTATTGCACTAGATATCTGTAGCAGAGAAGGGGATTGAATCCAGATTTCCAAGGAAGCTTTTAGTTGCACCGTGGCTTTTCCTTCCTGAACTCTCCTGACTCCTTCAATACTCACCTTCCAAGCTTTTCAAAAAAGGAGGCAGAGTCCTACAGGCAAACAGCCTGCTTTAGTCAGTATAACCCTGTCCAGTCCTTACAGGATCTCCCTTTTGTGAAGAACATAAGGAGTCTTGTAGGAAAACAGCATGTGATGGTAATTCATTCAATCCCCTATCATAAGACAGGTCCAACTTCTTCAGCGGCAAGGAAAAAATACCAGTGTTTAGGACCCCTCGCTCTCCTGCAGGCCACGTGAACATGGCAGTTCATGGACCTGAGCGTGTGGCTATATGACAGCCACAAGCAACTTCTCTTCTCCCAGTTATCCACAGTGCTGCCAACCCATACCAGGGAACAGTAGGTATGTTCAGCAACAACACTGCCAACTTTCCCCTAACAGCCTTTCCCTGTTTCTTCTGAGGAAAAGGAGACATGGCAGGTAAAAACACGCTGAGAGCTGAACATAGGCTGTTGGCTGTCCGTTAAAAAATCAAGACATACTCACAGGGGAACTGAAGTCAGGCTGCCCAGGCAAACTTTGTTTTGGTGTTTTGGAACTTCTCTATTAGAAATTGCCTAGGATGACATCTTATTGACACCTACATTGATCATAACCCAGCCCCAGACTTGATTAGCTCTTGGAGGCTGCTGGACTTGACCACTGAAAGCCAGGAAAGAGTTAGAAACTGCTAATGCCTACATATACAGTCCTAGAGATCAGTCTTTACATCAGTGAGTCACAATTGCAGGACTTGGTTTGAAGTCAAGAAAAGTCCCTCAGCCTTGTTCAGATCAAACCTACCACCTGTAATTGTTCACAGCATTCATCTGACCCAGCAGGGAGGTCTGTTGTCTGTGAACAGGAAGAGCAAGAGAGGACCCTGCACAGACCTCCACTCAACAGCTCCCTTTTTAATACAAACATAAGAAGCGCTACACTAAATTTATTACCATGCGTTCGTAAGGATCATCTGTTTCAGCAGCCTTGTCCAAGAGTTCACTGTATTCCAGCTCTTCACAAAGATGTTGCAAGGTATTCAGAGGTTCATTTAGCTCAACTGGCATGGATACTTTGGAGAGATCTTTGCCAATGTTATTTCTCAAAATATTCCACAGATTGATGTTACTGGTGTCAGGGCTGGGAGCTGGGAGACAAGTTCTCCGTCCATTCCTGAATGCACCTCCTGTTAGCTCACCATTAAGAACTGGGAAGGGAAAAAACTATTATCATAAGAAAGCACCAGATTAAGAAAAACAGACTTATCCATTGAACCAAATCACCGGCAGAACAAGCAAGCCCAACTTCACTGATTTCAGCTGAGCTGGTCTTGTACAGCCATGCAGTAAATCTGGTACATGAACATAACCAACATAACTTCCCAAAGTTTAAAACATAGCAGTATACTTTGCCGAGAAATGTTGTCTGCAACACTGGTGTTGTCCTCAGATATATTATCACTCACATCACTGATATAAGATTCATCATCAGAAGCCTAAAACGTAAATAAAATATCAATTAAGTCAAATACTTATAAAATATACTGACAAATTAGACAAAAATAATTAATTGAAACACAAATATTCAAAGAAATCATCTCTACCCAATTAGACCTCTTAACTAAATCAACTGGATGTTTCAATCAGCCCATACTGCCAATGCACTAAAAGTGTCAAAACAAATGCTATGCTCTCCTTATATTTCTGAATTCCTTATTATGAAGCCAAATACAGACATTAAATTTGCAAAAAGGTGACTTCAAATGACATCAGAGATGAACAAAAAATCGACAACGTAATGCGCTGGGGATGGGAAGTGAGAAGAAATAGTCAGACTTGTGCTCTTTATAAAGAACCAAACAATAAAATGCAGCTTGTGTTTCAGCAAAAAATTATATAAACATTGACCTATCATTTTGCAAAACAAGAACTACATCAGTGTTAAAACTATTTTTAAGAATATTTTTTTAACAAGAATTTTTTTTTTTCAGAAATATTACTTTCAAAATATTTTACAGTATTTACTGATGACAAAGTGTTTATTATAAGGCCTATACCATTTGGGGCTGATTTTGTAAAGTTTCCATTTTGTTTATACCATACAGACACACCAATTTTCCATGCTGATATAGACAACCCAGACTATTGAAATAACATGTGCTTTACACCTGCCAGAAGCAGTAAGATAAGGAATCATTCCATTCTTTAGATGAATAATTCTAGCCGTGGTTGTGCCAACTCGTGGCACATGAGCAATCCTTGCCAAAGAGAAAATATGCTGGCACACTCCTATTTGCTCTTGCAGAAGAGTTATGGTAGACCTACTGTGGCTTTATAAAAAGGTATTTTAAAAAAAACAAATACATTTTTAAAATTGAAGAATTTATTCAGGATATCACAGGAAAGCTGTGGACAGCAACGTGATTCAGGCGCCTGAACTGTATCTGACTGCTTCAACTTTGAGCTTGAGTGAGCCAATTTTTCAGGCTTTTGTCTACTTCTCTGATTACAGAGAATAACTTTATATGTATACTAGAAGACTTTTTTTAAAAAAGAATAATTTAAAATCTAAATTAGTTGACTGCGTAGTCGGACATAATTGCTCCTGGCTATGTCATCCTTATCTGAAACTGCCATAGTCTAGCAAGGACATGTACTGAACATAAGCTGCTGATACAAACAACTTCCAACCCAGTTTTACACTTCAGGAAACTTCTGCACCCCATCACAAGGGAGTCTCAAGTTCATTTATCTACACCTTACACATTCCGATACCTTTGCATTCTGAGTAGCATTATTAAAAAAAAAAAAAAAAAAAAAAAAAAAATCATTCACTAGTGGTAGCAATACCTAAATCTGTCCAACAGCAAAGCTGCAGCATGCCGTCATAGCCTACCTCGTTTTCTGACGAGCTGGCAGATAAAAGCACTTCCTGTGCATCAAAGAACTCTGAAACGGATTCAGACATAGACAGCCTGCTCTCATTAGAAACTTGCTGAGACAGTGGCAAACTGACATGAATTTGTTCACCCGTCTGTAAATAAAGCACAGAAAAATAAAAGTATTATTTCTAATATAAAAGAAATATGCATAGAAGGGGTAAATCACCCAAGTAATTTTTCTATGCCAAATATAAGCACAGATAGTAAAGACAGCATTTTAGTAGGGCTTTGTGTGTGCCTAACAGCTGATACTTTGACAATTACAAAATAAAGGGCATTTTGAGCAGTGAGATACATGTCTTCATTTGAGGCCGGCTCAGCATCAACTGCTAAGTTTTAGCAGCACAAATAATCATGGATCTAGTTCTGCATCCAGAGGAATTATTTTGTGGACAACAACTGGATTGCGTCAGACAAGTTCAACTACGAAATTCAGATTAAAAGACACCTGGTCATAACAAATTACATCACTGGAAGCTAGCTTTGATACAACCAAAACTCAAATATAAAGCTTTTTAAGGTCACGGAGTTAGGAGTTATTTTCAAAACAAATGCATTTGTGAAGCAGTTTAGTAACAAATGTTTGAAATGTTTGAATATTCAGGAGGATGGCTATAATATATATTTATGTGCTTTTATTCCATGTTTGTACTCCAAATCTCATTTGAATCATGCCATTAACACTGACTCAATACTACTAAAGGGAACGAACTCTCTATGGTTTATTATAAAGAGAATTTAACAGCAAAGGCAAGGGTTCAAAACTGTGTTATGTGTGTATCAGTAGGGGGCAAGCTAATTTAAATAGTAGGACATATCTTCCTCTTCCTGCTATTGATGGGAGGAACAGCAGGTTTCAACCTGTTACCCTACAGGCTACCGTTTTAAGAAATGGGGGGGGAATTAAGATTCTTTCCCTGTACCATTCCACCAAAGGAGCTGCTGCCATGGAGGGAAACAGGCTTCTGACTTAATCCCTTAATTTATACAGCATGTTGCTTCTGGGAGATAATCCAAATGAAATCACTGAAGCCTTTCTAAACACAGTTAACTCTTCAGATTGCAATTCCATCCCCATTAATCTTACTACAAAAGTCCTACAAATGGTTTTGTTGACATCTTAATCCTGTAGAATTATTCTATATAGTTGCCTCAAAATGCACTAACAAAAAAAAAAAATCATATACAAGCCAAGAGGTCAAAAATCATTCCTTTTTCACTGGGACTTATAAGCTTGTAGGTGGTTTATGATGTTTGATGAATTATAATGGAAACAGAAGCTCATTTCACTGTTATCTTTACAGGAAGTGATTAAAATTTTAAGTTTTTGTATAAACTAGAGGGACTTGGAAAAATACACATGCCCCTACCTGAAAAAGATGCTCACACAGGCATTATCTACACACTGCAAGATTATATATATAAAGCAATCAAGAGAAGAAGTGAATGAGAGATCTGGGAACCTCATTGAAAAACTCCTTCAGTCAGACACACTTGTACCAAGATAACAATATACATATGAAAAAGAAACAGCTAACCAACAAAAAGTACAAAATAGAGGAGATGGTCATTGCTCAGAACTTCACTGCAGATTGCTGTGCTGTGGCACCGCTTCACCTCTATCTTCTAGTCTCCAACGTGCTGGACTCTTGGAAAAATTGTTTGCACGTTTTCAAAAAGCAAATAAACAAAAGTAATTGGAAACATATTTTCACCTTCCTTTCTTGTTGGAAGAAATAATTAGGAGACAAGAGTATGTTAATTGAAATGGCATATGCATAGAAAAAAAATAGTGGAAATGACAAATGAAAAATATTTTGGTAAAATGCAAGCAGAATGGTTGTCAAAGTGACCTCATTAACTGTAACATATTACAGCTCGCAAATTCAGATTTGTCCTTCTCATGAGGGAAGCTGACTTGTTATTAATAGAAACGTTTGGTAATCTGTTGACTGAGGAAAGCAAAACAAGAAAGACTAAATGTTGCAAACATGATATTACTATAGTGCTTGGTTCATAGACTGAACCTTTTGATTTCAGCAGTGCGACTCAAGATATTAAACATCAGGCCCTTTAAGCACTTGCAGGATCAGGCCATTAGGTATTAAACTGTTTTGTTGATTTGGCAAGAAACTAAGATACAGAATTGGTTAGCTAGTGTGTGTTACATTCAAATACAGTAAAACCTCACTAATTCCCAAAGCCAACAATTAATATTCCAAAACTGGAGTCCTTCCCTGTTTCTCTGCAGAAACCAAACTGAGTTCTTTCATGAAATCTGACATATGCAAAATAAAAGATAGAAGTTTTATACCTTCTGGGAAAATATAATCTGACTTTTTCTGTAAATGAACACTTGCCAATCTGAAAAATTCTATAATTTGCCAGGTGTGTGTCAGCTATTAGTGAGAATTAGCAAGGTTTGATTGTACTCTAAATCCATTAAAGGCCGAAGTCTTACCTCATCAGGACTAGGGATAATATTTACACTGACAACCTGATCACAAATAACAGATTCTGAATGTATTCTGTTCAAGCGACTCCTTAGTTCAGCATTCTGGTTGAGAGCCTTAAAATAAAAATTGCACAATTCATTTAAAATTAAAAAGTAAGAGTTAAACAGGAAAGAAAAAAAAAAAAAAAAAAAGTAGCTTCTTCCCAGCAATTTCCTAAGAAATCACAGAACCTCCTTTCTTCCATTTTTAGAGATACCTATTTTGAGATCCTCTCTAACATGATTTAATCTTTTGGTCGCTTTGGTGATTTTCAGGAGGCAGGGGGGACACATATTCTCCCACAATGTAACAGTGGCATTCTACCTTAATACTTCAGATAGCTCTTTGGCAGGTATTCTGGTGGGTTATGTACATTATGGAAATGGGGAGTGAATGTAGCAAGAAAGAATGAAACTTCAGAACCACAAACGGGAACTACCTGCAAAATGCCCAAAGAGGCAATTCTTGGTTCACAACTATACAGCCCTTTCTGAACCAAGGTTATCAGCACTTAGAGCCTGCAAAAGGAAATTGCTTCCTTTCCAGCAAAAACAACATAATTGCTAGTATCATTGGGTGTTTGCCTGTCCAGATCAATTTGATATATTTGCATGTGTGTACTCATTTCAAACTACTGATCCATTAGAGTGTCACAAATACCAATAGAATTCACAAATAGAATTCAATTGCTGATTTTTCTCCTTTTTTAAAGCCCACCCTAGATTATAAATTTGGATGCATATATACATATTGTCTGTTATCTAGAAAGACTCATGTGCAAGATTCTGAAATCCAGAAAAAGTATAGTATGTTACATACCTAGAACATGAACTGACTTAACCCTAATACATCCCCAGCACTGAGGATTATAAAAAAACCAACAGACAGACATACTGTTTTAGTAGAAAATGTTATAATGGAGTAAGAATCTTCCTCTGCCTCCCCCTAGTGCAGACTCAGGAATATATTGCATGAATGTACTGAAACAAAGTAGGACCAAAGTAAAATAGGTTAGCTTAAACTGTCACTAAACAGTTTAAATTACCTCATTTTGTTTTGTTCTGAAACGGTCTGGGCATGTGCACAGGTGCCATCTACCAGGAAGGGAAGGTGATGACTAACAGCAGCCTGGCAGTAGCTTCTTAAACTGCTCAAACCTGGTCATAAGACTGGACAAACCCGGCTGTCTGACTAAGGTCAAATTTCCACTTATTCCCCATTGAGACTATGAACTAATGCGTGACAGTGACTTTTAGACTGACACTGGAGGTCAGGAATAATAAGAAAACATGATCACCTATTTCATACAAGTTGCTAATAAGTCTCCACAGGTCTTTGTTAAATTTGTATCAATAACCAGAAATGGTTACCCTTATGTCTTATCCTTAACCTTTCTTTATTACAACACACAGTAATCAATCTGTGTAACATGGTATGCATCTGTATCTATAGAAACATTGTGCATCAATTTTAATCTCATGGCAAAAACCTCCAACCCAATAACAATAATAGTGTATGAAATTATATACACATTTGGGTGAAGTTCTGTTTGCCTTTAAACCTCTGCTCATATTTCTTGCAGATGCAGTACTCCACACCAACTCATTCTTCAGAGCAAAAGCTTTTACGTTTCCTTGACAATGAACTAAAAATTTTGAGTTATTTTGCAACCTGAGGACTTACTATTGCTTTACCTCTTCTTCCTCACTAAAGCCAATGACAATTTTTCCTTTGGCTTAAGTGGGAGAGACGCTGGACAGTAACACGTGTGTATCTGAAAATCCAATTTACCCATGATTATCCTGTAACCCGTGATTCCTTTTGCAGTTAGAGACATGGACATATAAAACAAATCTGAAAATATACAGTCAAAATTTAAAACTTAATTAAGAAAACAAGAACATCTCCTTGGCTGTGCTGGAAACAGCTCCAGAAAAGATATCCAGCATTTGTATAAAAACATTTGGTCCTTTTTCTTTACTTCAGAAAACCATAACAGATACATGCTTACACAAACAAATTATATCCTTCACCTCCACATGCACATATGTTATAACAGAACATATGTCATAGTTCTGGTCACGAACTTGGCTTTTTCTTGGCTCCTTCCACCTCAGGAAATGGCCCAAATACAAAAGAAATAGTGCATCTGGCAAGCTAGATGTGTTTGAAATCAAATCAAGAACATACCTGAGAAAGGGACTGTCTGAGGTGTGCTATTTGAGCATTGTGGCCTGTAAGATCCTGCTCTGAGATAATCTGCTTAAGCTTCTCCTTCTCTATAGCTATGCTGTTAAAGGCAGACTTCAAAAGAGAATGCACTAAACAAAAAGAAAAAAAGGAAACAAGTGTTTTCTTAGCTACAGAACTGCACATTGACAGGTATTACAATATTTCAGCAATAAAGACAGAGAGTGAGATTTCCATCCCACAATTATGGAAATTTGAAACAAGGATCTGAACTTCAAGTAATTCATGCCAAATTAAGTAAAAACACTTGCAGCTTGAGGTTGTAATGTGCATACTGTATGTTCACACATATGTCATCTGAGCATATTCTTGGTGCTGAACATATAGAAAGGTGTATATTTGGAAAACCTGTGTCCAATGTGTATTCTTTTCTTTCTGGTTTTTTACTTTTCTTTTCAGAGTAATAAAAAAATAATTTCTGCTAAGACCTAATATTGCACTAATAAAGAGGATTACTTGGTCTTTAAACAGGTTTTTGACGTTTTTTAAGATACCAGTCTCACGTTTTTCCTATGTTTGTTATATAACAGCAAACTGATAACAAACCCTTTTAAAAATAGTATTTTTCAGTCTGTAGGACCATTCATTTATTGGCAATAAAATGGCATTTCTAAAGTACATTCTAGTAATAAGCTCTTCTGTTGTTTCCACTAATGTAGAAAACATTGCACAAAAATGAATTGCAAAACATTGTATGTAGCAGTGACATTCTGATTCATCTTTGGGGAAAAATAAAGCATATTATTGAGAAACAAAATGTTTGCAGATTCAGTCATATATTTACAAGATGCAGAAAGTACTTCAGAAGACTTCTAAAAAAATCTCTTATCAGACAGAGTTTACTTACCTCTATATTCATGACATCCATGGAAAATGTAAGAAGGATAATACATGTTGTCTTTATGTAAGCCACCTGACCAGCTAAAAATTCTTATACAATATCATCTAATGCAGATGAATGCCCTGGCCATAATTAAGTGAAGGCAATAAAGAAACTCAACAGAGAAGCACAATAAAGGAAAAGCTTGACATTTCCAGTTACCTTTTTGTGCCATCAGGCAGAATTCTTCTTGAAGCTTCATGTACTCAGTAGAGCACTCCAGAGGGTCCATTACATGGCTTGGGGGAGTCTGAAACTCAATGTCTGCACAAAGGTTGGGATTGGATGAATGCAGTCGAACGGGTGACATTGTAGCACTGAAAGGGACCTACAGTGAGAAACAGTGAAGAAATATTGTATAAGGTGCAACCAACCTTTTGACTCTGCTGAAGCAAAATACAAATTTCTTCTGAAAACAAAAGACTTCGTTCACAATGTGAAGAACATGATAAGAGTGAACACGTAACATTTTACTCTCCTAAATCTCAGCACAGCTGCTGCAGAATTCTCTTGAAATTTTTCACTGAAACAGACAAAGGTCTAAATACATAGTTAACAGCTAACGATGGAGCATTTCAATTCTAACATTTACAAAAATGGACCATTTCCTAATGCTTAAAAGATGGCTGGAAAACTGAACCATGACATATGCTACTTTATATTTGGACATTTGAGAGTACATGTAGTATGACTGTTGTTACAATACCAACATTTGAAGTATGCAATTCCTCCACAGATCTAGACCTAGGATATAATATTATCAAATATATCACTGAAGCTTTCCAAAACTACTGGTAAATCTTGAGTTGAAACTGGTATCAAGGCAATTATGAATTATTAGCAGAATTAGGACTCTCCAGTTCCCAACAGGAAAAGGTTGCTCGTCAATTATCGAATCGGACATTATTTACCTCAGTGGATATTGTACATATCTTTGCTAGTCAAGTAAGAACTATCTTAAGATCTTAATGATTTAATGATTGTAACTGTATGAATTAATTGTACTGGCAACTGCACTGGCAACTACGAAGAGGGAAAAAGCATATAGTCTTTCTATATTCTTTTGAACTAAACAAACAAACAACCACCAAAATAAAAAATCAAAACTCCACCTGATTTTCATTTAAAGTACATGAACCATAAATAAATGCAGAGAGATACGGCTTAGTAAGATGGAGCAAATAATTTAGTTTATTATCATTTCCACTTCTCTTTCTCCTTCTATACTTTTCAGGTACAGTAATAAAAATATATATGCAAATCTTTATAAGTTATAGACACATGTATCGTGTACTGAACAGTTACCTATAAGCTACATATGCAGTGTATGGCTACCACTGTTATGTGTGTGATGTGTGTGTGTGTGAGCATATGTCGCATTTTAATTTTACCATTTACACACATTTGTATAAAAATCAGGCCAAGAACCCAATTTTCAAATTTAAATGCAAAGGAAAGGCATGCAGAACTACATTTTGTTAGTTAAATATTAAGCACTGTTAAACACATTGAACACATTAAATCTAATTTATTTCATTATATTGATCCAATGTATAAATCAAGAATTTCCACACTGCAGCCCAATGTAATTATTCAAATATGAAAAATGGGGCCAAAATATAAAATGTGTCTTCTGTGGCATGATAAAAAGCAGCAGATAACATAAAAAGTCATATTACTAAGAATTTTTATCCACAGCTAAGTTCTATACTACCGTCAGTATTTGAAATTGGTACCTTGTTATTTGATTAGATCAGGGAATGGTTTTATCAATCCCTTCCTGTAAAAGTTGTCATCAATATATGTTTTAGGTTTCTGATTCCCCAGTGAAACCCTCAAAATCCTGTTGGATCTATTCATTACATCTCGTTCCACTCATGAGCATATTTTGCAAAATACCATTTTCCATCCTGTTCTTCCACCTGTTTTTCTACCATTTTCTTCCTGTTCATCCATATAGCACATAAAATAATAGCTCTATGGCACCTATGCAGTATTCTCTTCTCTCATGTATTTTGATTTCCAGCTGTATCAACGAAGTAGGTATTTTTTATTGGACCTCATTTTAGCCTCATATCAAGACGACTTCATTAATAGGAGATGTAGAATAAATTCCTTCCGTTTGTACTGTATATTTACCCTATTATCTTCTTCGCAAGTACCAGACGGCCTCTCTCAACAGCCCAAAAAAACTAGGTTAATTGACTAATGTGACTAAATGTAGGTTAATTTCAAGTTTCCTTTACAAAACCTTTTCACTTCTTAAACCAGAGAGCATGTTCCCAAAACTTTCTGACTGGGAACACCGCAAAGGTTCAATTGCTCCAGGTGGCTCCAGGAGGGCAGAGTAGTGGCTACATGATAGCTGTGTGTGCAGGGAGCACGTACCCAACCCTCAAGCCCATCCAGAAGGCAGGGAAGAAAGCTGCTCCCAGCTATAATGTAGGAGCTTGAGGGAGAGTCCCTGCAGCCCCACATGCCTGTTGCCCCAGCCCCACATAGACTGGCAGAGCTGCAGGCAGGCTGCCCACACATGGGAGGGCCTTTAGTCACTTTGTGATGAACCTAGCTGAAGAGACCTGCTTTAGATCCATCAGAAATCTGCCTCATACCTCAGCTGGCCAGCCTGAAAAGCAATGTTTCTGCAGTGAGGTTTATTGGAAAAATAACATTTTAAAGTATGTCCTAGAAAGAGCATTTACATGTTCTACAAATACTGTCACACTGCTTGCAAGAAATACACATTCACATGACAGAGACAAATAGCTGCTTTGCCGACTGCTTTAAATACAAGAACCAAAAATACTGAACTATTGACCAACATGAACTCTCCTCATATGCATCTTTTAGACAAGTTTCCAAGCTACTTTCCACAACAGATGAAAAAGTCCACATTGAACAAACTCTTTCATTCTCTTGAATAGGCAACAGTCAAAGAAACACTGCCAATATACTTCTCTTCCCCTTTTTTCCTTTTGCTGCTGTGCTTTCTCTCTATATCCATGGTGACTTGATTCTGACTTTATTACCCATTCTTTTTTTGGTTGTTTTGTTGTTGTTGTGGAGGATTTTTAAAAAATATTTAGCTTCTTGATGCATCACTCTGGTTTTCTCCACACACACACTCTTCTAGACATGACCTCAGATGTACCTTGCCCTGACTTTCTGCTTTATGCCAGGGGTGTAATACCCACTTATCCATCACCTTCTTCAGAATTACATGTCCATGTAGGAACAGACTGTTCCTGGTAGAGTGGGTTACATGGAAAACCTCCTCTTTCTGCCATGCATCTAACTGACATAATGCTGTATTCCTCCGTCTATACACACAGCTTCACCGTCTGGGAGAGACAAGCACTTGCTACATCAGCCAGGAAGAACGGGCCATTGCCACGACCACTGCAACAGCTGCAGAGTCATTCTGGTGCCTCTAGTTTTCCTTCTGTGCTTTTTCTAGCTCCTCCAAGACCTCCCTCAACAGGTCCTAACTTCAGCTGCAGGTAACTCAGTGATTCCCTGGACTCCTACTGCCTTGCAATCTAAGTCCAGCTGTGTTTGCTCCACTTCAGCACTCCTTGGTACAGCTTTTGCTGAACCTACTGGTTAGAGCCTCCCGCTGACACCGCTCTGCCACATAAACTGAGAAGCAGGTTGATTTCTCTGCTAGGCAGGCAGACCGATGAGGTCGAATATCAATCAATTATTGAGCACAGCATTCAGCATCAACTGATTACAGGGGATTAAATTTAATTTGGGAACTGGAGAAACACTGATTTCTCTCATGCCTTTTAGTTACTGAGTTTTGTGGTTCAGGTAGCAGGAGCTCAAGGTATACAGGCTTAAGCAGAAGCTAGGTCTGATCTAGGGGATTTTAGCTATGGGCTGGAGCAGCAGACCCTGGAATACTTTAGCCTGGTGAAGATATTCACTGCTTGGGTTAGGTAAGGGGTATGCATTTAAAGCTTACTTCAATCTTTGGCTGCACAGAGTCTTCCCTATCTAGCTGTTGTACTAATCAGTTGCTGGATTAGTACTAATGTCTATATTGTGCATTCCTAATAAGTGCTTTCCTGATAAAGCAGCAGCTGAAGATATCCTTTTGATGCTAATTTAACTTCACAAACACCACTTCCCCCTCCCAATTCCCAGCCCCTGTGTTGATTTCATAGCTCCAGATTTTGCATCAAAGACTTAGAGAATTCGCAAAACTAAATACAGACACTAGAGGTAGTAATATGACTTTTTGGGATTATGGAATGTAAACAGAAAGTGTCTCAAATGAAAAGGCTAACCTTATACTACTTTAAAAAAAAAAAAAAAAAAAAGAAGAAAAATCAGGAAATTTTATAATTCCATGGTTGTTTGTAACAAATCTCCTTGATTCTGTGTCTTGCTATAGACTATCACGAGAATCTTTTAACAGAATTTGATCATTTCTTTCCATTTTGTATAGTATATAGCAGAGTATGTCAGCCATGTTCAAATAGTGCAGGGCCTGAGTCTAACCGTCACTTGCACTTGCATAAAGGAGGAGGGACATGTACCATGTGAACAAGCTCAGACCCACATTTATAGAATTCATTTCTGTCAGGCCTGACCACTTCTAAGAAACTCAGCTGAACGTGGGTAGCATGGATACCTCCAAAAAGTGCAAGAAACATTTTCATAAGCTTATTACACATTCAAGTTATACAGCTTCCCATCTTTAGAGCTATCCCTTGATTTTTAAATCCACTCACTGTTGTAGCCACTGCAGCTGCTAGTCTCTGCCGGCGTCGTGTTGTGCTGAACTGGCCCTTCGGTGCCGGCCCTTCCTGACAGTGAATGCAAGAAGAGAAGGAAGTAGAGAAAGAGAAGGGAAGGGGTGATGGGACACAGGAAGATGAAAGGTGATCAGAAAAGGGAGAGGGAGAGTCTTTAAGTGGATTTCAATTTTGTTAACTCTCATGGCCTACACATGCTGAGGACAGATCACACGTTTTCAGTTGTGTATGCCAGAGACATAAAAAAGCTAGATACTTCATTAAAATTACGTTCAGATGAGTCGGACTGCAGTGCACTCACTAAGACTACCAAAAAAAAAAAAAATTCTATTAGCATTGCCATTCAGAGTCATAAGGCAATTATGGAATAAGAAAACAAAAAGGGTGCTATGGCATGGCAGAAAACACAAAAACCAAACTCCTTGTGGGGGTCACTTGACCATCTAGAAGATGAATTCTGAAAGAGATCACTTTGCATTAGTGGAAATGCATGAACTGTGGTCATTGAAGATGCATGCATCTCAATGGTAAAACTTTTCAGTGTGTATGTTATAGTAAGCTTGCTTCTGTAAACATTCCTGTGCACAGCTCTAGCATTTCTGTGTCCATCCTGGGGCCTGTTGTTCATTTTCTCCATTTTCTTCATTTTTGAGTTCTAACTACTTCTCCCGTACATTACTGAAGGCTTTGCTTCCCAAGCAATACAAAAACTCAGACAGAGCAGCACAAATGAAAACTAAGTATTCCAATAACTACTTCTTTTTCTGCATGCCTAACTTGTGGCCTCATCCTGCTCAATTTTTTTTACTTTACTTTTAAGAAAATTCATCATGGTACATTAAAGTCAAGCAAGTAATTGTCTAATGCAGAGGAGCTCCACACCTGTCATAAAGTCCTTCTATTTAATGTCTAATCAAAATGTCATTATTTTGAAGCCATTTTAAGATTTTAGAAGACTAGAAAAGCCACCTTTCTGCTTTTAGAAAACAATTTTCAACCCCTTTACATTTTTCTTCCCCTGTATCTTCACCTATAGCCACTTCAGTATTTTTAAATCTACATACATTTTTACTTTTTCTGAAAGCAGCCTGAGCACCATATAAATAATAATGATATAGATTCCATATATGGGCACCATGCTGAAGAACAGGATATTGTAATCCAATTATTAGCTGAAGTGTCTTGCTCCTGTAACATTCCCGCTGCATAGGATTGCTGCATCTGAGAATGGCCATACCGTTCACCCTCTGGCTGATACTAGTGGCAGTGCTGACAATGGAAGGGTTGTCTAACGATCACAGTAAGAGAAGCCTTGCTTTGTAATATTTTATAAAATTCTCACATTTAAAAACACGTACATAAGCTCTAAAATATAGAGTACAAACTTTGTTAAAGCAGAGAACACATCATATGCATAATGTAAAGCTCTTTGTGCTCTTCAGAAGTACATCTATCCTGTGAATAAGAGTTTGGAAGAATATTCTTGTTTAACTAATAGGGACATATATAAAAGTATATATGTACAGAGACACATGCACAAATATATATGTACCTGCAAGATTATGCAGGTATACATTATTAAAATGGGAACAATGAGCTCTGCAGAAGCACACGCTCCCCTCAACACAATAGAAAGTGAGGTCATAATCTGAGTTACAATATAAAGAAATCCTTTTTTAAGGGAGAAGGTAATAAGCCAGTCTTTGGGTTTGGTTTCATTTCTGAGCTGAAAGCCTCAGTAGAGCAAGATGACTTTTCAGGTTGCTCCATGCTATATAGTTCTCCATTAAACTACTCTCCCGCCTCCCCTCCCGCCCCCGCCCCCCCCAAAAAAAGAAACCGCCCCCCCAAAAAAAAGAAAAAAAAAAAAAATCTGTCTTGAAAAAGAAGATCTTTAGATTGTCATGAGAATGACAAATTGGTCTTTTACCCAAAGGGGGGGAAAAAAAACCCAAATCCAAAACTCAGTTTTTGTACAAAAGCATCATTTGTAAAATGAATGAATGAATGAACCTGTTGTTGCAGGCCATTTTCATAAGACTTTATATAGGCTTTTTAAAAACAAAATAAACCTCCTTCATAAAAGCAATCTTTCTTCAGAGAAGCAGTCCATGTATTACTCTTGAGTAAAGGCCTCTAAATTAAGCTGTTAATTCTGAACAATTTAGCAATTCTAAACCCCCAAACCTGCAAACTTATACACACATGCTACACTCAATTTTACTTCAGGGAGTAACCCCACTCTATTCACTGGGATTACCTGTGTGAGCAAAGTTAGCTGCATACAGAACTGGTAAACCTAATTGGTAAATACATATTTCTAAAAAAAAAAAAAGCAAGCAGCTTTTCTTACAAGAAAAAGTATGTTTTAAACACATTATACACCTAGCATTCAGAATGTGTTAGCAGGAATACAACAAAAGCTATCTTATTAACAAAAACTGGTAACAAGTACAATACAAAATCTGAATGGGAGAATTCTCTCCTTGCATCTTACGCAGTGGATGCTGAGCTAGCAAAAATTACACCCTCGTTCCCCATTACTCATGAACAAGACACATATATATAGAGCTCCCTAATGTTTGTGTTCCCCAGAAGGATGGCTCTCAACATCATACTATCAGAGGGTCTTTTGGTGGTAGTTAACGACTGCTCGTTCTAAAATAAATAGGAGCAAGTACTTCAAATGGAATTAATAGTGCAACTAGCTTAAAGTTAGTATGTTAGTGCTAGCATTATCCCCTAAAACTAATCAGATATATGGAGGCATGGGGAAAGGAAAAGGACAACAGAAGTTTTCTTAGTACCAAATATCAATCATTTAAGAGCAAATCATGTATAGGCACCATGAAGAAATGATCACAAATTAGACAAAGTGATCCTCAGTAGTGGATGCCCTGATAAACAGTTTATAAAGAGTTGGAGTAGTCTTGAAAAAATTACCTATAAAAAAGGCCAATGAAGCTAGAAGGAATGGCTAAGAGAAGAACAAAATGGTACTGTAAGCTTAAAAAGCACCTAAGCATGGGAGGAAAGCCACATTTTAGTGGAATGGCAACATGAGCAAATTAGGAATAACAGAACGAGTCAGAGATCTTCCACAGATCACAGCTTTAGACCATTCATGGGACAGGACAGCCCTTGGAAGAATAAACAATGTGTTGAGCCCATCAAACTAGACAAGATAATGGAGCAGCCAAAAAGGAATCTTCGTATTCCACATAATTTAGAATAATTTTATTGTTTCTGTTTCACTGCAAATTAATTTATAAATCAATAACTTAATGCTTTGCTCTAACAAAATAAGCTTTACGTTTCCAGCATTAAGATTGCCAGGACTTAATGCTGACCCAGGTTAGGTAGAGTTCATTATCGACCCAGAAGTGACAGACCCATGTAGAGCACTGCTATGCACAAACACTCTCTCAGGGCAACCTGCAAACTGAACGTATTTGAGAATTTCAGGAGCTGAGGCACAACTCCTGCCAAGCCACAAACAGCAGTTTGAGAGTCAGGTGCCAAAATGATGGAAGCCCACATCAGTGTTGCTTTGGCAAAGTGCAGGCAACACAGGAACAGCTCGTAATTCCTCATCAGCCACCCCAGATCATTATATATTGACTGCTTTCATCTTTTTTTTCATCATTTTTGTGGAGAGGAATTTCTCTGAGACCACTGCGGCATGAAAGAAGAACATGCGGTGTCGATACTGTCTCTTCATAGGCACCAAGTACTTGCATCCATTTTCCTCATATTTTTATTTGCCTATGTTATTCAGCAGCAGGGAAACACAGTGATCCTTTAAATGCAGGTAATAGGACATGACATGACATCAATCACCAAAATTCCTTTGTTAATAAACCTTTTTAATCCTAAAAGATGCTTCACTGTTCAACCTATTGTGATTTATCTAGTGCAACAGGGAGAAAGAAAAATCACTTACAACAGCTGTAATGAGAAAGCTGATGCAACTGTAATTTCTTCTTTCCTTAAGATTATTAATCTTAAATGAGTCACAGAAAACACCTTATTGTGCCTCTAGGGGACATATTAAAGGCTTTCAAAGTTTGCATTAATTTCAAGGAATTTAAATGGATCAGAAGTTGCTGACATTTATTTATTCTGTAGCATACAGCACAGTGGTGATTGTTAGCTCCTGAAGTCAGTTGAACATAGTCTTCATTATCAGTTGCTCAATTATAAAAAAGATTAGATTTTGGATTAGGCCTCAAAACACACAACTACTACTGACAAAACACAGTAAGACACTCTGGATCTAGCCATAATACGAGCGTATTATGCTTATTTCTGTGCTTTTACTTTTCAGCTCTAAGGCAGGATGGGGTAAATTCTTTCTTCACGTAATTTATTCTTTGGGTTACTCAGTTTGTTCCCGTACTAGACTTTTCCATAAGAGAAGGCTTGTGAAAATACTTCTCATTGGTAACATTCCTAGTATAGGTCTTGACAAAGACAACTGGTGTGTTTAGCATTTCACTCATGTTTTCTGCTTTTACCTTGATGTCATCTGTTCAACTGCCCTTCTTGGCAAGTTTGAGATAGAACAGAATCCCCGTGTGCTGCATACATATTGCCTTTTTTGCACCTTAATTGACTAGTATTCAGATCCCCCTCCTTTCCCTAGATGCCAATGTTTTCATATGAATGAAAGTAAAATCAATACTTTTCTCACTATCTTCTCTAGGTTTTAAACAACAAACTGAGATTCAATTTACTTCATCAGGAACATAAGAGACATTGACTTCCTACTTTCAGCCAATATATCATTTCATGCTTAAAAGTTAATCTGAAGGAACAGTGAAAAGTAAAACATTGTGCATTCAGTACCTGAAGTTGAATTTTGGCATCTTTGCTGACACTTTTTGTTCTCCATCGTCTCGTGACCCGCTTGTCTTTCTTTGAAATATCTACACAGTTAGCCTACATTACACAAATAGTTAAAAGCGACAAAGTACTATTAAGTTGACACAAGCAACACAGACAGTACAGCAAGTTAGTAAAGAATTGTAGCATTAGACATCTATAAATTAGAAAGTAAGGAGAAGAATGCCACTGCCGGGGCCCGCGACTACAGCAGTGACCAGCTGTAGCTATCCATATACTTTTATAAACACATGGTATATTTAGCTCATTTAGCAAAACTACTGGTATACCTTCTTCATGAGTGCACAATATTTAGGACCAGATCTTGAAATCCTCATGGATTTCTGTTCTGGTACTACTCAGAGAAATGTAAAATTCACCTCTTTCTGAAATCAATGGTAAGTCTCATTACCTCACTGGAACTAAACTTCCCACCACACGAACACCACTGGGAGATTTGTGTACTCAAGGGGACAGAGTGAAAAAGGAAGAAAGTGTTTAGGATTTAGGATCTGCTGTTGCTTTCTTGTGGTCAAGAGGAAAACTCACCCTCTATTGTAACATTTATGTTGTAGCGGTTCTCAGTTTTGCTTTGCAAATGACTTAATCATTTGATTCGTCCTATTAAAGTCAAATAATTAATAAGCCTTAATTATTTGTTTACACATGAAACATTATTACACATGATTAAGATAAACATATAAGATAAACCTTTCATACATTATTATGATTTCAGAAAATCATTCTGAGTTAACAGACAACATCTCTATATTTCCCTTAACACAAAGAACAAATGTTTCAGTGTGATGATTTATGTTCAAGCATATTTACCTGCATGTCTGTGAAATTTGGTGCTGACTGAGTTCTCTGTAGTATTTCTAAATTTTGAAGAAGTTTACTGAGTTCCACAAGGTTTGACTGACAATGAGCAAGATCTAACAGATATAAAACAAAAATACATTAGGTGCTTCAGTTCAGACTTTTTTTTTTTTTGCCATGATGTCCATCATTGGCACTTTATTGCATTATAAAAGCTAAATGTCCAAATCCCTAGTAGTAAGATTTAGTAAAAGCTTTACTTTCAGAGATGTTAAGCACTTGTTATTTCTATGGGAGTCAGCAACAAGTCTGGACCTCAAAAGTTGATCATATTTTAACAATGATATCCATTAAGATAATACAGATTACTAAGATAAATTTTAAAAGCAACATCCCAAAACATACAGAGAGGAAAGTGCCCACCACAAGCATCTAATTACCTGAAGAGCTACTTCATGTGCATGTAAAGATGCAACTTAACCACTTTACTGACTATTTCTTATTTTATATCAGCAAGAAGTTTTGCTGAAAGAACAAGGCATGAAAAGGTAAAGACTAACCTTCTGCACATCTGTCCATCTCTTCAGAGTCCTGCAACCAGGCTGCTACTTTACTCTGACCAGTAGTACAGGTGGCAGGAAGGCTGTTACTGCAAGGTATAGGGGACTGCCAGGGGAAGCTGTTTTGTTGCACCTAAGGCATAATGAAATGCTTAAATTTACTGTTGCTATGTTGCTCAGTCAGTGTAATCACCATACTAGTTCAGAATAAGAAAACAAAATATGCATTGTGATTTCAGTGACATCTGTGATTTATAGTTCCCCAAGATGCAGATTTTTCTGAACAGCATGTTGGAGAACCAAACCAAGAACCTCACAAGCAAACTGTGTTTGCTAACCACCAGTTAGAAAAGCTGTTGTTTAAGAGGAAGAACATTACCAAACAGTAAAGAGACAGATTTATCCCTTATGACAAAGGCAAGTGCAAATTGTTGTGGGGACAGTGAATTCTTTGCAAGATCTCTACTGCAGCCCATTAATGAAGGCTGCAGTAAGGCTAAATTAAAGAGATTTTCAGCTGCACACACTCAGAGCTTTTTGCTGGCCATTGGTTCCCACAGTGGAAACTCCCCTCTATTGACATTACAAGCAGAGCCCATTGAAGCTGCCAATGCTATTGACATTACAAGCAGAGCCCATTGAAACTGCCCATAAGCAAGCCCAGTATGCATGAGTTTTCAACAAAAGAACACTACATACCTTTCCATCCGACACATTAGCAGCTGGTGAAGACTCTGTAGTAGAGGCTGAAGGGAATATGTGAAAACTAGCATCTCTCGGAGATCTCACAATCTCATTCTGACGGTACAATCGGTGGTGGCGTAATTTTGAAACCCATGCATCAAATGAATCCTGGGACTTCACCTGGAAACAAATTCACTATCAAGAAAGCATTCAAAATACTATTTTTCTGCACATCTTTTACAGTTTTATTTATTTCCACTGTGGATGAAAAAAGAAGAAGTATTTGCACCACTTTTTACCTTCAGATGATAGATGTGTTCTTCTGTGTCAAGATCTATTCTACGAGCCTTCTTTTTTATAGACATAACTGATAAACCAACATCAATGCTCCCATGGACTTTGCCTTTCTGTATCTAAAATCAAAAAGCAGGGTAAGAAATTGGTAGTATCATGCACTTGTTCACTATATTTAACAGAAAAATATCTGGTGCTGAAATGGTTTCCCGTTTTATGAACATTTTAATATAAAGCCACATTAAAAAATAAAACCTGTAGTCAGACTAACCACTTACTATATTTATAGACAGAAAAAAGTATCTCATAAAAAATGCCCGGTGCAGAGCCAACTCCAAAGTTAAAGAGTGTTGGTTCACACCAGTACACAGCTACAAGTAAGTGAGAAGCAGAGAAAATTAGACAGTACTCAGTTCCCTGCTGCTACCACTTGAAAATTATTGATATCAGATCTAATTTAATGCTGCCCTTTATATCTCTTGAGTACGTTGTAATCACTTCTCTGTCCTATCCACATATCTCAGAATAATCAGCTCTAACTGACATAAAAATTGAAAAGGAAAAATACATGGTCAGGCTAATCTCTCAAGCACCTTCATTAAATAAACTACTTGAAGTAATGTAGTTTTTATTTTCACAGAAGTGAGAAAAGGTAGAATTCTTGAGGACAGAACTCAACCAAAACTTTACATACTTTCCATATACAGATCTCTCACTGAATCCATCAACAACTTTCATGTGTGCGCTGTCATAAATATGCCTAGAGTGAGTATGAGATTTAATCACCCTGGCAGGCTGAATTCCAACACAAATTTTAAAATGGTCTTTAACTTTACTTACATCAATTGGTGACTTTGAATATTTCAACATTCCATTATCCAGGACAAAAAACCTCTGAAAGAAAAAAAAAAAAAAAATTCTTTCTTAATGAGCAGATGCAATTTAAACTGTGTACAATAATTCATCTGCAAAAAAAAAAAGGATTACTCTGTAGCAATTAAGGAATGTTTGTGGGTTAGAAAGAGAGGATAAATACAGTATTGAATTATTTTCTTGCTTGTTTTTTGACAACAATTATCTTCTAAGCAAGAAAAACTAGATTCTTTTTTCAACATTATGTTCTAGGTTTAACTTAACAAACCTCGATAATGAAGGGTATTTTTTCAGTTTTCCAGCCAATTCAATAAACTCTGTAAGAAAGACACTGTAGGCCGGAAGAGTTATGTCTGTTTCTTCATTTTCTTCCCGTTTTTCTTCCCACAGAAGCTGGTCACATTTTGAATTAACAACCTACCTTCCCTACCCAGAAACTGAAAAGATTTTTCCTAGTGCAAGATCTATATCCCAAAGGAAGACCCACATATGGATGTTCTTGTGGTTTCCTTGATCTCCAACTGGGAAAAAAATGCAGGCTGTGAGATACTGCTCTACCATCCAAAACTTTGTGCCTCATGGCACACCTCTACACAGTGAGGTAAAGATGAGATTGTAATTCATGCTGATTATACCTTTTCTAGCTGTAAACTAGCTAATACAGGTATTAGTACAAGTGTAAATATTACAGCATTCCCAGCAACGTACCAAGGTCATGGGAGGGCTTATGTTTTGGGTGTTAGTCATTGATATGGTGTGAGCCACTATATCTTCATTGACACAGTTACCAGGGCTAAGCTAACCTGACGATGCCCATCTGTGACATTGCTACACCTTTATTTAGCTGAGTGGCTCTTACTTACAGCAGAGAGCAGAATCCCCTATTCACAATGTGTTTCTCCTGCAATTAAAGCCGCGCTAGCTTGTGTGTACCAGACCACTCAAGCTGCATTGTGGATAAGTTAGCATAGACTTTGGCACACAGCATAAATATAGAGCCTAGCAGGAAACCTGGACTTGAAATGAGATTCACTAACTTGTGTTTACCACCACTAACTTTCAAAACATGCTAATTAATAGAAACTAATTCATATTGTTAGAGTCTAACCTAAAGCACTAATCTATATTAAAAATCTAGAACACAGCAAAACACTATCCTGGACTCTCTAAGCTGTCTGACACGGAAGGGAAGGACAATGTTTTCATGATGTGAACCTGTTAAATCGACACGATGAGCAGGGTCAGTAGTTAGATGGCAGAAAATATCTCCTGAAGATGGTTCTGGAAATTATGTCAGTCACACAACAGATGGTACCAATATCTCATGCAGGGCAAGAAAACAGTGCTTTCCTGGAGACGTAACTTCTTGAATAAGATGTCAAAACAACAGGACGGTTTTTGGTTCTGTTTTTTTTAACTAGGTATAGTCATTAATGGACTTCACAAGAACATGACATTCATTTCGTATTGCTCTGCCTCTCTGAGTTCCACACACAGAAGAAAATGACCTTTCCTCGTATTTCGTTCCAAAGCATACTGCACTTCAGAAAATGATAAGCTACTCTCCAAGTTGTGCACATTATACCCGGTATGCTACTAAAGCACATTCAGAACTGTCAGAATATGACATGCAACGTTCGATAGACAGAGGATGCTATGGCTTTGCTAGCAGAACACTAACACAGCACATGCTACAATTACTGTCTCTGGAATTCCTCACTGGGCTCTCAGCACAAAGTATTGTTACGGAAACTGCAGGATATTGAGGCAGCAGTTAAAAAAACAAAAAGAAACTTATTAACAAATCCACAGTTTCGAAACATAAGTTCAGCATAGATCCTTAGGTGAAATGTAAGGCAGAGTGGAGGGGGATGCTGAACTGTGAAGCTCTTAATCACATTAAAAATCATTTACACAGGTAACTGCTCTAAAGTCAGCATGAAAAACAGATCATCAATAGTGATCTCCTTTATAGAACGGTGAAAGTTGGACCCCTCTTGCTATCCTATAAAGTCCCTTACCAAAACAGACACTTGTCCAAGAAACAACACATTAACATAATGTATTTTAAAGGAGTGGAAACAGTGGGTTATTCTATATATTCTTATACATCTGATTAACCGTTTTGTTTTGGGGAGTGGAGGCCGTTTGTTGGGGTTTTGTTAGTTTGGGGTTTTTTGGTGTGCTTGTTTGTTGTTTTTTTTTAAATAAGCTCTCATTTTCTGTTCTTTCTGCCTAGAAAATTATCCTGCTTCAAGTACCCTCAGCTACAAAAAGACGGGTGAGCGTCAATACCACACATCTTGTGGCTAAAAAGGGAAAAAAATGTAATTATTATGGTATAATATACAGACAAAAGAGTTTATGAACACCAGGTTTAGGGCTAACAAAAGGTAGAATTATTCATGGAGAAATGTCTCTAAATTAACTAAATAGAAACAGGAGATTTGGGGTTGAGTTTTGGGGCATTTTGTTCTATGTTTTTAAATTGAGACACCTAATGGCAAAAGTGCATAGTCCCATTGCAGGTCCACACAGAAGACTGCAGTCAAGAAGACAAACAAAATTCAGGGACAAAGCTGAGCAAATCTGCCCACTCAGCATGCCTAAAGGGGAATGCTCTCCCGTACGAACACCTTGGGTCCATGCAAAAGCCCTTCAGCTCTCCTCTGCTATCATGAAGTCCTGTGTATTTTAATGTAAACTCAATGCAATCTTACAGTACATGGCTATATTTTGTTATAATATATTGGAAAGAACGAAAGGAATATTGATTAAACATCTTAAACCACAAGGCATCTGCTGCATTATTTACAACTTCCACCTGGATTTTGAATACAACATTAGGCAGCAGGCACTGCAATCTGGAAGCCATGAGCTGTGTGTGCAAAATAATTCTTTACATAATTTAAAGAAAAAGTCATACACCAAAATCCTGGGCATTTATTTGACATCGTAATTTCCTCCAGACAAAAAGTCCCAACTCATAAAATGAGGTAATAATCTTTTGACTGTTTTATGAGACATTTACCTTGTGCCAACCTTTTAAAGGCCATTTTCTCTTTTTCAGCATGAAACCTTCATGTTTGTCTGGCTTCTGGACATTGGTCTGGCCTATTTTCAGACCCTCTATGATTTCCCAGCTGTCAGGTTCCTGGTGAAAAAGTATGAAGACACATTGATTAATTAACTGTGCACACACATGATGAAAAATTGCACTTATACGTAGCACAAATTCTGCAGCACAAGACAAAGAGTAAATGAGGGGCAGGCTTTTAAATCAGCCTATTTAGGTACCAAACTACTACTGTATTATGTCTGGCTGTATCTCATTTAAAACTGCTGAATACTAATATTTTTGGAAGTCTAACCCTTACCAGGTAACTAAAAGGAAGTCGAAACTTTTAAAAGTCTGACACTGCAACTAAACGACAATCTGAGGGTGGGTCTGGACATGCTGTTCACAACAAGGGCTGCGTACCAATGAAATAAATACATCTAAATACATGAAAACAGGATCAAATTGTGGCTGAGCTAAGTGTAAGAAAGGTCAGACCTGTTACTGGGGGTAACCGTGTGAAAGTGCAGGTGGCGCTGATCACCTGTTAAGTCTATCCAGAAGGCACCCCACAAATTAGCACTGCACTGTAAGAACTAAAAGGACTGAAGAGATTTTATAAGTGGGGTATGGGCAGAATCTGCATGTTAAAAATGTACCTTTACTCAGAGTATTCCTTCTCTAAAAAAAGATGGGATTGTGAGATGAAATGAGGAAGAAACGATAGTGTTAAATATATGGGCATACATTAACAGTGTCCCTTGTGGTATTCCCTGATCATAAAAAATCGTAAATTTTCTGATCTTTAAAGTACAAGCTACATTGATTCTGGATACTCTAATTTTTCCTTAAAAATCAGAAAAACAAGCAGAAGAGGTTGGTTTGTTGTTGGTTTTGAATGTAGTCAGCTCTTGTCTTCAAAGGCATTTTATGATAGAGTTTCACAGGCTAATTGCGCCTTTAGAAATCTGCAAAAGGAAATTAATTTTTTTTTTTAATTTTCCTGCATTCATTTTCATGAGAGAAATCTAAAGGAAAGCTAACTAATTTTCTCTCTAGAGAAAAGAATAGGAACTGTATCATTTCAGATACAACCAGCTGTATGCTTTTCAGGGAGCCAATTAAAGCGTATTTCTTGTACATACCACTTCTTATGCATGATGACTTCTACAACTCAAGCCAGACTTATAATAAACCATAGTGAACAGCTAAGGAACAACATTTTTAAAGAAAAAAGTCATGCCTTTATTTCTATCCTCTTCCAACTGCTGTATTCAACAAAATTCTGTACCAATTTAAAAATCTCCTATTGTCTGCTCATTAAGACTCTATTTTATTAATTGTATCCTACAAAGTTGTAAACCTGCATTTTCTCAGCTGATCTGTCACAACTCCCAGCAATCTTATGAAAAGTTACCGAGAGAGGAAGCAGCTCATACAGCATCAAACATTTAAACGGAAAAAAAAATTGTCTCCTCCATTTCCCACACAACTGTTCAAAGCCGAGCACTGTCAGTCTTTCATAACACATCGAAGTTAAACAGCTCTGATTATTATTATGAAAATACGATTTCAAAAGTAACAGTAAATTTCAAATTACAATTTTCAATACGGTCTTGTTACTTTCAGAAGGGTGAAAAGCTCTATCTCAAACAATACACACTACAGTAAATTTTAATAGAAATGTTTACTCAGTTTAGTTTTCCCTGCATAACTATAATCTGAAACTATCCCAGTGCCTGTAAATGTCATGCTCAAAAAACACCTTTTTTACTTCCCTGTGTTTTGCTTGGATATTCTATTTCCACTACTGTAGAGGGAAGCACATATGCATTATTTTTTCCCCTACAAAGAAGCACTTGGCACTTGAGGGGGGCAAATTAAACTATGAGTCCCCTGGGGCAAGCAGAGAATCTCTCTCTGCAACTCTGCCAACTGATTCTTCACCATATTGATTTCTCCTTTAGAAGATCAGCTGCAGGCTGATCTTTTATCTATTAGATAACACCAGTATTGATTACTTCTCAACTAGAAATCACACAATCTCATAGCTATTCATTTAAACAAAAGGCCTGACACAGAAGGACAAAACAAGCAATTATTCAGTGCAATGTGGATACCTGTCTTCTGCTGCACCAGTGCTACAAGCTGTTCTTAAAACCATCCTAACAATGCTAACTGTGCCTCATCCCACAAGTTTGGTGTGATGAGATATGCCGAATATAAGGGACATTATGCAAGAGCAGCCAGAAATGGGGGAAAACCAGAGTGACAGTGATATGCTTGAAGGGTCCCCACCAATGCCGATTCTCAAGTACAGCATTAGTACTTTAGGACTTCTGCAATTCCCTACGTATTACGTGAGAAACAGCTCTGTGCAAAGCAGCAGGACCAGGGGAACACAAGCACAACTTATAGTCCCTGGGTCTGCATACGCCCCAGGTATTGGGAGTAAGGGAGCCACTACCAACAGCTTTCTGAACCTAGTCTTTTTGACTGCAAAGTATTTCTTTTCCACATAAAACAGAATGAACCATTTCATTTTCCCTGGATGAACAGAATGTTTCCTTTTGAATTTGTTTTACCAGTTCTGTTTTAGAACTTACAGACATGTAACTTCAGATTTTTCTTTTCTAGCAAATATTCCGTCACAACATACTCACCTTTTCAGTAACAATCTTACTTTTTCATGTGAAGTATTTCAAAATGAAGCCTTCTTTATGTGGAATTAGACTTATTTGGAATCAGTTATTCCAAAACTGAGGAATACAGCCAGGAAGAAGTTGACTGCAAAGCACCACACACAAGGCTGCACCTTTCAGACACTGGCAGTGTTACCTCTACAGTTCTATTCATTTCTCTGCCTCAGGAAAAAAGGTCTCAGCAAGAGATTTTAAATTTCAAATTTAAGAAACTATCCACAAGGAATGTCATTAGGACATATTTGTTAAATTAATATCATTATTGATTAGCAGCACTTTTGGACTTGGACATGATTTGCTCTACCTTAATAAGAGGATTAGACTGGATCATTTCTCAAAGTCCCTTCTAGTCCCATACTATGAGATTGTAAAACTTGCTCCTGGGGGCCATCCATGGGCAAAAAAACCCACCATCCAAATCCTTCATTTTGTTAATATAACATCTTCTAAAGATTACTGGCCCCTCTGACACCTCAGCTGGGGAATAGGAAGCTCCAGGGCAGGCTCACAATATACTCAATGGTAGAATCATACAAAACAATATCCCAAAGCTGTTAGTCAAACTACTTTGTAACTACAGAGGGAAACTCATTACCCAGATTACAGCCTATGCTTTTGCTTACCTTGGATAGAGAAATAGGGTCACTTTCAAGGAACTGCTTGCTTACAGAAGGGTCTGTGCTTCCCGAAGAAGCCTTCCGCTCCAAAATATGAACACTCTAAAAAAAAAAAAGGTAATTAAAGATAACAACTTAGCATTCAGTGTTACTTTTTAAAATACATATTAAGTAATGAATGACCGATCATTACACTCCTTATATAAAATATCAGCATCATGGCTCAAAACGTACCAAGTACTATCCATGCGTGACATAACTGCACAAATAGTTTGTCTTCTAAGGCAATACACCTCTTTCCTTCCTCGCTTTCTTTTTTTATTATTGGTTTTTAAACTATTTACTCTGTTCAGCCTAGAAATGACCAGGAACTAAAAAAAGCCAGGAAAGATGAGTAATGCAGTTCTTACCTACACAGATGCAAAGTGCTCCTAGCCAGACCTATTATGTTTTCTGCTAAGATACAAGACACTGAGTATACATGTTGTGCAGTAGGCACTGTCCCACATTCACTTCTGAAGCAAACAACTGCACATAAGATATTCATGCCTCTAACATATTCATTATCACACCTTAGCATTTTTTTATTGGCTTCTCAACTGACTTGAAGTAACTCATTACATGAGTGCTTTTAATAGATTACAGGTGTTCACAAGATCAGTTACTGGGTCTCAGCTGACAGGCTTGCTGGTGAACATTTATGGAACACAATGATCTTAAACCATTATAGCTGTTTTTACGTATGACAATGCTATAAAATTTTATATCTTCAAAGCATGGTACAAAAATGAAATACATAATGTCACAACTAGTCCTGAAAAAAATGATATTCTTAAAAGACATCTAAAAATGTCTTCCCATTTTCCAGAAATGTTTCATTCATTTTTTGTAAAAGAAAAAGTTTTTTTGCTACAAGAGAGAATAACCACATTCTGCCTGCTTGGATTTGCATTTCGTTCTCTGGTGAAATTTTACAACATCTCATATTATTATTTGGTAAGAATTCTACCACAACATGTCAGTAGTATCTCTTTGGCATGAAATAAAACTATTTAATTTCCAGGACATGTAGCACAATGACAAACTTGCAATTGCAATTACCCTCTGAGAAGGGTAAGTTTTCTCAGCTGAAAACAACAATTAAATTTTGTTCACAATTAAGCTGCTTTACATTCACTGAATAAGAGATTACATAGGTACAAGTGACAGCAGAAACCATCAGGGAATATAAAAATACATACAAACAGCAGAGTAAATATTATTGTTTATACAGATAACTAAGTACACAGATAACTAAATACATAAGGACCATAACCAAACTAAATGAAAATAAACACAGCTATTCATATAAATGCATATATAACACAGATCACATCTTGCTGCAGAGAAACACACAGACCTTCATTTTTCTCTTTCAATTTGCAACTGTGAATGTGAATAGGAAAATATGGGAATTGTCTCCGTTGTCAGTGGAGATTAATAAACATCCCTGCCACTATGCAACAATACTCGGCATTTATTTTCGGTTACTTTTAATTTAATTTTACAGTGAAGAATGTGGAAAAGCAGCAGTATTATGCCACATTCCCCAGGGCAACCAGCGAAAGCTTTGAAATCTTCTGCTTTATCAAAGAAAGGCCAATCTTGTTACTTAACCCAATGTCTATTACTAGTCAGATGAGAAAAATGTTTGTATTTATGTAGCACAAGTTCCTACAAACAATTTAATACGCTTGTCTGAGCTGAGCGCCACAAAGTTACTAATGATAAAATATGATAAAGTTTTCTCATTGAATAGATTAAATGCTACTTATGCACACACTATCACATTTAAACAATACACAAGAAAACCTAAATTTGTTCCTCCAAGGAAGACTAAAATCTCACTTGATTAGCATAATCAGGACGATTCCCAACTTTCTTGCCAGTTTTGTTTGGCAGGCAGGAATCCCTCCATCTTGAGATGGAGCAATGCCCAACACAGATGTTCTGAAGGTCTCATATGTAGCAGCCAGTGCAGTTTGTTGTTACATAACTGCAATTTCATTTTGTACAATATTTAGAGTGGAGTAACCCAACAGCCCTTGGCTTGCCAGATTTCCAGTGACATTTTCAATCGCATGATTTTAAGGCAAGGGGTTTTTTGTGCTTTTTTCTTTTTTTTTTTTAATCAGCCCTCAGTCATTACAGTTCCACTTCAGCTGAGAAATACATTATTAGCTAACAGCACTTTAATGAATGCTGACTTATTCAACTATTTGTTTGGAAATAAGAAAATGAACACTTTTAAAATAAAATTGCCTTCTTCACATTCCTTACTTCAAGAAGTGTTGTCTTGTTGTTTGTAAATGTCTGCTTTCCAATTATTTTCTGTCATGACCACCACTACACTGGCACAAAATCACTTCTTCAAATTTGTGACATGTCTCTAGCATAATATTAAGAGACATTACTTGGTGCAAAATGTTTTCCATTAATGCATGTTATTTTTCTGCAAAATTACAGCTAGAAATTACACAATTATTTGACATTTTGAAAAGCAGCTATTTTTATAATGCAGGAGCTTAGTTATTTAGGATAACAGAAATAAATATTATTTAGATCTTGAAGTTATTAACAACGTTTTTTTTGTTTTAACAAGAAAAATAGTTGGTAAAGGAAGCAGTTAAAAAAAGTTGATGAAAAGGAGGAAAGAGGCAGTTCCATACAGCTTCTGGGGTTTTTTTATAATTGAACAGAAAAATGAATAATCCATTAATCTAGGCATATCAATCAACCTGGTACTCTCACTCCTCTCATCCCAAGAATACAGGCAGATGAAATCAACCTCTGCCTTGCTCCATTCCAGACTTCCTCATGCTTCAGGATTACCTGTGCAGTATAGCTGGCTTGTCCTGGAGAAAAACGCCGGCACCGCCAAATTCTGTGTGCTCTTGGAAATTAATTCAACAAGATTACAAGTTTAAGTGAAATTGCTCTTTAGAGAGCAATCTAGAAATCCATTGCTAAACCTTAGTCCTATCTACAATCCTTCCTTCAGCTTTGAGATTATTCACAACATACATACATTGTATATATGAACACACATTTACTCCAAAATGCCTCTAACAAGCCTACACACGGGGAACACAAATGCTGATTCGGCCCTGCATTTTTTTCATGTTGCTTCCCAAAGTCATGTGAGGGAGAAGGAAGCTGATGGAGAGAACAACAATATGAAGTTGTTTCATATTCTCATCTTCTCTGGAGGGCAAGAATGGAAAACGTATTTTACAATATCTTTCTATATATCTTGCCAACTTCATTTCTCAGTTAAGAGTTCAGTGACCCATTCACCTTGTCCACCAGAACAAATACTAGCACCTGGAGCATCTGGTCTCCATCAGGCCAGAGGCTGAAGACCCTAATGTTTCTTAACTGAATCTGACTTCCCATTAAAAGAAAAGACATTCAATTGATTTCAAAGAGAAAGCAAGAAAAGAGAAGAGATGTTGAGTAAAGAGAGATAGGAAATCCAGTGAAGGACAAGTCTGGCACTTATGCCTCCCCTTTCTGCTTCGCTGCTTAATTACTTAATGGAATGAATTATATTTAATGCAATGAGTTCTCTCTAATTTAGAATTTATTCATTTCCAAGAAAAAGACAAGCTGGTGAGCAGACAGAGACTCTCTTTAGTTCAGAAATGTGCACAACATGTGGCTAACAGTTAATTAATGAAAAAGATTTAGTGGGTCATTTTGCATGGTGGAAGCAACCACTGGATGGCTGGAAACATATCCTGTGCCCCATACCACCGCCCAGAACATTATCCTAGGCCTTGAAAAGCAAGTTTTACGGTGACATGGCACTCCAGCAGCATTCAGCAATCTTCAACACCCATAACCGTGGGGCCTAATCATACACTGTTCTGCAACAGTAATTCAAAATAGAGCTTTTCTCTCTGGGTTTTTTGTGTTGTTTTTTTTCAATCCAAAGGACTAACTAGTGCATCTTTTATTATCTGCTATTCACTGGCATTATTTCTGCAACCTAGCTACCCCTGCACAGACCTGTGTTCTTATTTGAATTCCATTTACTATGAAGTGCAATGCTTAATCGCTTTCTCTCAACTAAATACACAGTATTCTCCAGTTATCTAAAATACAGCAGCAGTAATAAGGTAGACTCAGATTTGACTGCAGACATACCTGTTTTTACTACCTTTTAAACAAAGCTGTGATATATGCTGACTTAATCTGCAATATTATTTGCAAAGGGAATAACCCTGAAACTGGCTTTTATCTTAGGCTGCTTCCCAGTCAGCTCTGGCTTTCCTTCTGATGATGTTGGAATAAAGACAGAGTCTTGAATATCACTGTGAGAGAAGGGTGAGTATAAAGCAAAACAACCATGTCTCCATCAATGTATTTCTCCTTTCTTTCTTCTAGCACATTTTTTTTAATTTGTATAAAGCAACCATGATTCTACTCTCATTCTCAGTCTCTCCTATTGACACCGCTCCATAGCTGTTTTCAACAATCTCATCTATCAACCCACAGACAAAGAAACTTAACAATACTTTATGAATAGCACATGTAGTTAATCTTTTTTTTCTTCTTGTAGCACATGCTCATCTTGTACAGAAATGTGCTTAAAAGCAACACATTTTTTCTTTGTAACCTTTTTACTGAAAGACAAGTATACGTAAGCAGCAGTTCTGTAGCATATTAATAACATACAGGTATGTACATCTCTACTTCTTTCCTGGGATATGCAAAATAAACACTTCTTGTGTTACAGAAATGTCAAGGACTTGTTAGCTCAGGAGCTCTCTGTCAGCCCTTTCTGGAACTTCAGCTATGTATTGTACATAGCACTTCACATCAATGCTTTTAGGCTCTGGAAGCAAAGCAGCCTTTTCCTTTCAAGGTACTTTTTGACAAACTCTGAAGAGAAATAAGCTCTTGCTCTTCTGAAGAGCATCTTGGAGAGAAGTATTAGCACAACTGGATAAAGCAGAAAAGAGCTATCATTGTAACAGCTCTTTGCCAGAGCGATGGTTTGGAACGACGACCAAGTCGCAGCCTGAGACTTTAATGACAATCTTCTCCTTTCGCACTTT